GGAGGAGGAGGAGGAGGAGGAGGAGGAGGAGGAGGAGGAGGAGGAGGAGGGAGAACATGAAGACAATGAGGAGACGGCCGCTTATGGGCTCTTTGGGAGCTTCTGGGAACATGCTGGGGGCCTCTTTCGGGCCTCTTGAGGTGTCTTGGGGGCCTCTTGGGGCCTCTTGGGTAGCCTTAGGGGGCTCTTGGCCCGTCTGACGCTCTCCGGCGGCCGTCTTGGGGGCTTCTTTTGGGGCTGCCTCGGTGCCCCATTGGAGCGCTCCGGGGCCGTCTTGGGGCCCTCTGGGGAGGCTCTCGGGCGATCTTGGGAGCCTCTTGGGCCGACTTGCGGCCATCTTTGGTTGGAGGCCTCTTGGGCCGTCTTGAGCGGTCGGAAGTCCAAACAGGCGAGAATCTCGACATAATTACCGAACAAGATTGGAAAGTTTATGTGCTTCGCCTCTCTTGGGGCCTCTCCAGGGCCTCTTAGGCCGTCTCAGGATGCTCTTGGCCCGTCAGACGCTTTTGGAGGCCACCTCGGGAGCCTCTCTGGACCGTTTTGGGGCACACTTGGGAGGCTCTTGGGCGATCTCTTGGACCGTCTTGGCGCCTTCTTTGGGGGCCTCATGGTGTCTTGGGGGCCGTCGCGGGCGGTCGGAAGCCGAAACAGACGAGAACTTCGAAATCCTTCAAACACCGAGTGAAGCATAATGTGTTTCTCCTCCTCGCGATCTCCAGGAGGGTCTCTTGGAGTCCTCTTGGACCATCTTCGGGGCCTCTTGGGCCATCTTGAGGCCGTCTTGGGGGCCACTTGAGCTGTCTTAGGCTATCTTCGGCCATCTTGGTGAAGTTTTGGCTGTCTTGGAAGCCGTCTTGAGGCCATCTTGGCCGTCTGGAGGTCAACCAGAGCTCCAGAGAGCAAATCCAGAAAGGCCGGTTTTTTAACCACTCGCGCGCGAGGAGAGGGGGTGGGCGGCCTTAGGAATTATGAACAAACCTCCCACCCACCAGAGGAGCATGACTGAAAGAGCGAGGCACGAGTGATGACGTTCTGGTGGGGCGAATCCGTCACACGCTCCCCCGCACCTCTCGGGCCCCCAACTTGGGTCCTCAACACGGCCCAATAGAGGTCCACGACGGATCCGAGACGGTCGAAGAGCGTTCCAAGGGAGCCGCAGACCGTCCCAGAGCGCACCAGCAGCGGCCTCAGATGGCCTCACGGCGGTCCAGATGGGGGCCCAAGATAGCCAAAGTGGCCCTCAAGAGGACCTTCCAGGGCACCCTGGGAGGCCAACAGCAATTATTGCGAAGGCCTTACGGTCGGTGCCGCCGACCCTGAATGGCGACGACGACGACGACGACGAGCGCTCTTGGGGGCCTCTTGGGGGTAGTTTGTGGGCCTGTTGGGAAGCTCTTATGGGCCGCTTGGAAGCCTCGTGGGGGCCTCTTGGGGCTTCCTGGGGGTCTCTTGGAGGAGGCCTGGGACGTCTTGGAGGCTTCCTGCACGGTCTTGGGGCTATCTTGGGGACCTTCCAGGGCACCCTGGGAGGCCAACAGCAATTACTTCCATAAGGTGTTGATGAAGGTCTTCAGGGTTACTCGCCTGTGCGGATCTCCGACGGCCCAGAACGCCCCGACAGGCAACGACGGACAGCACCAAGACGGCCCATGATGCCCCCAAGAGGGCCCCACGATGACCCAAGAGAGGGCCCTGGGAGGCCCCCAAGAGGGCCGAAGAGGGCCCCGAGAAGGCCCCCAGACGTCTCCAGCCCCCCAAGACGTCCCACGGGCCCCCAGGACGGCCCGAGAACCTCTCAAGGGGACCCCGCAGACGGCCCGAAGAGGCGAGCAACATGGAATGGTCTTCGGTGTCTATGGTTGTTGGGGTCGCTGCCTTTTCGGGAGCCGATCGGCCGAAGACGGTTCCGAGGGCCTCCGAGAGTGCCCCAAGACGACCCGGGAGGAATGCCCCCGAGACGGCCCAAGAGGGTCTTGAGGCGACCACAGAGAGCCCCAAGAGGGCCATGGGAGGCCCCAAGGAGGAGGAGGAGGAGGAGGAGGAGGAGGAGGAGGAGGAGGACGAGGACGAGGACGAGGAGGAGGAGGAGGAGGAGGAGGCCCCAAGACGGCCCGACACCCCCCAGGACTGCCCAAGAGGTCCCCAGGCCGGCCCGAAGTGCTCCCAAGAGGACTCCCAAGACGGCCTGAGGATGCAGCACTCGTTGATGCTCCTTGGGTTGTTGAAGGTGCTTTGGGCTCTCGCTGCTTCGGGTCCAGATCGACCCAAGACGGTTCTGAGGACCTCGGGGAGAGCCTCGATTGGCCAGGCGGTTCCCACGAGGGCCCCAAGAATGCCCAAGAGGGCCCCAGGACGGCCACAGAGAGCCCCGAGAGTGCTCGAGAGGGGCACACGAGGGCCCCAAGAGGATCATCCTAAGAGAGGTCACAGAGAGCCGCAGGAGGCCCCCAAGAGGTCGAAGAGAGCCCCAAGGAGGCCCCAGTACGAGCCGAGCCCCCCAGTCCGCAGCCATTTTGACTGAAGCCATTTTGGCTGCAGTTTTGCTGGTTTGGAGCTTCAGTCTTCCGATCGCAGCCGACCCTCAGCGTATCGTCTACAGTGATGGCCCGTGTCCTCGGACTCTTGTGCTTGCTTCATTCGTTTGCTCCGCTCTTGGCAGAAGATGGGGCCGTGGTGTTCGTCGTCGATCCCAGCTGGGACTGCGTGGAGAGCTACGTTGCTCACGTACCTCTACTGCAGAAGTACAAAATCGTCAAGGTCATGACACGTCTTGGGACGGCACCCCCGTGCAACATGGGCCGGGCCGATATCTACAGGAATTTCACGTTCAACTCGGCGACGCCCAACGACTCCGCGGCCGCCGAAGGCATCTGCCCCGAGTTGCTGAGCTTGGGCGTCCCTGTCAGGGCTGTCATCCCGACGCACGACCCTGCGGTGTACCTGGCGGACCGGCTCGCGGTTTGTGTCGGGGTGCGGGGGAACCCGTTCGAGGGGCCTCTGGCGAAGGCCAGGCGCGACAAGTGGGTCATGGGCGAGGCCGTGCGCAAGGCTGGGCTCCGCGCCGTCCACGAGAAGGTTGTCTCCACGTGGGGCGAGGCGAAAGCGTACCTTCAGTCTTTGGATCCGCCCCTGTCCCCCGCCAACCCCGTCATCTTCAAGATCCTCGAGGGCTCCAGCAGCGAGGGCGTGAACAAGGTGTACAGCCTCGGGCAGGCCGAAGCGATCGAATGGCCTTCGGCCCATCCCACCACCGTGCTCGGGTTATGGGCCATGGGCCTCTACAGTCGGGGCCCTGAAGAAGGAACCCTTTTCGTTGGGGAGGGGCTCCGTGTTCCTGAATAGTTCCACAGGTTGTCTTATGTCTTCCTTTGGTTTTCGTTGGGAAATCGAAGTTTACTTATGGGAAAAAGGGGCCTCGTTCCTTATTCAGGGTTCCTTAGGTCAAGGCCCCGACTGTAGGGTGTTCGTTGGGGTGTCGCGGGGGGCCTCTGGGGGGCCGGTTGGGGGGCCTCGTGAGAGCCGTCTTGGAGCCTCTTGGTGCGTCTTGAGGGCCTCTTGAGGGTCCTTGGCATCGCTCGGACGTGTGCATTTTTCCTCCGGCGAGGACCATCGAGGAGCATCCTTGATCATTTGGCGAAAAAACCACGCACGAAACTGAAAAGAGCACAGGAAATGGACGTCCGAGCGATGGCCAGGGTCCCTTCGGGCCTCTTGGGGGCATCTTGGCGCCTCCTTGGGGCCTCCTGCGGGCCTCGTGGGGCAGAAGACTCGGATTTTCCGTTCGTGTTACCCTTTTGGGCCCTTCTTGGGGCTGTCCATGGGCCGTCCTGAGCGCTTCTGGGGCCGTCTTGGAGCCGTCTGGGGGCCCTCTTGGGGACCTCTTGGGCCGTCTTGGGACGGTCTTGGGGGCTTCTTGGGCTGTCCTGGAGCGTTCGAGGCTCGAGACGTCGAGGGCACCCAGAACATCAAAAGCAACCATTTGAACAACGATCACGGTAGCCTCCCGGAGCCCTCCTGGGACGTCTTGGGCGCCCTTTCGGCCGACGGGAGGCCATTTTGGGCGTCCTGGCCCGACCGCGCGGCGATTCGGGGGCCGCTTGGGCCGTCTCGGGGTCCTCTCGGGCCTGCTGCGCTGCCCCCGGGTAATCTCGGGGACTCCCCGGGACTCCGGTGGCCCGGGCCCGTGAGAGCCTTGCAGTTCTTTGCTTCTCGGGGCCGCGTGGGCCTCAGAGCACTGCGCAGCCCGCCCAGCTTTTAGCGGAAGAGGTTCGCTCTCGCCCCGCCGACCAAAAATGAGCCTCAGAGCACTGCGCTGCGTGCTGAAGGCACGGTGGCGGATATTCAGCAGCGATACCAGCGGCGATAACCACTTTGGAGACAGCATCAAGAAGCTTCTCATACAGGAGTTCCTGCAAGGCGACGAGTACGTTATCGACTCTGTCAGTCGTGACGGAGTGCACAAGGTTGTGACGGTCTGGAACGAAGAGCTTCATCCAGGGAATGGCGTCTTGGACTTGTACTATGGTTTCAAAGCCATGGACCCAAAGGACCATAAGATCCAGGCCATCATCGAGTATGCGAACAAGGTGCTCGATGCCACTGGTCTTCAGAACGGTGCCTCGGACATGGAGGTATTCTGGCTCGAGGAGGATTCGGCGGCTAGCCGTGGGGGTGGGGAAGTGACAAGGGGCGGGCCTTCTCAGAAGGCTCGGACGTCACTGGCCTTCTGAGAAGTTTCCCAAACCTTCTCCTTGGCATCGCTCGGACGTGTGCATTCTTCCTTCGGCGAGGACAAATCGAGGAGCATCCTTGATCATTTAGCGAAAAAACCACGCACGAAATTGAAAAAGACACAGGGAATGGACGTCCGAGCGATGGGCCAGTCTCCGAAGACGCAGAAGACTTCTCAGAAGGCGTGAGGGCTTCTGAGAAGTCCCGCCGCCTTCCGAGGAGGCCTCCTCTTTCTCCTTCCCCCCCCTCGCTCGCCGCCGAAGGAGGGCAGACCCTGCGTCGTGGATCTGAATGGCCGCTGGACTGCTCTCATGTGGCACGACGGCCTGGCCCTCGAGCAGGAGACGGTTGGGAACAACCAGATCACAGCGACCATCAACGCGTACCTCGACGGCGATGCTTTCGATGACATGCCGCTCGTTCCGTCTATGAAGCAGCACGGCGCCATCCTTTTCACAATGGCTCGCCAAACGGGCTTTCTCAGGGATACTCCAGGGCTGGCAGTGGCGAAGAAGTTGCCCTCGTATTGGGGCAGCTACAACGACGGAATGTTCGTGGGCACGTTGATCGACAAGCTCCCCACCAGTCACCCTTGCCTATTCATCTTGCTCGCTCACAGGCAGAAGGCCGTGGTGGATGAAGACTACGACCGCATCATCGGCCTGGAGAATTCGGGCGCTTGGTTTGACATCGTGCAGTCGCCAGGGAACACGTCGCTCGCAGCGCTGCGATCAAACGTCGACGGTTTGCCAGGCCAGCGGCTGCCAGCGATTGCCGCATTGGCGATGCTCGCAGCTGCAGCCGTGTTCACCCTCTTCGCAATGTCGATGCAGAAGGTCCGAGATGACACAGAGTATCTGGCAATTTGATGGGCAATTTTGTTGCGTGATACGAGGGGCATGCAGTGGGGGCCCATTCCAAGAAACACCCTGCTTGCCTCCAGGGGGCCCTTGGTTTCTTGGGTTTCGATGGTTTTGCTATGGAGAGCGCGGCGTTCCCACACCACAAATCAATTGACGTTCTGGGGTCTCAGGGTTGGGTTTCTTGTGGAAGGGTTCTTGTGGACTGGCCTCCACTGTAAGAGTGAGCCATCGTAGTTTGTCGCGTCGGGTTGCCGATCGCGTTTTTGCCTACAGGGGTTCACTCGAGAACAGCTGGTCTGACAAAGGCTGACCCTTCGTCGCGATCAGCATTTCTGTTCTGCCTGGGAGCCCGCATGAGTCTCTGCCACAGTCTACATGCTGAAGTTTGCGTGTGAGGTTCCCGCATCATGGTGCCCTATTTGTCAGGGCAGGGCCCGGCATCGATTCTCAATAGCACAGACCCTTTCTGGAGACCCCTTTTCTTTTCACACTGTCACCTGAGCCGACAGGTCGGCAGCTGGCGAGGCTCCCCTCGTGCCCGCCCCCTTGTGGGCACGGCTGGCTTCCTCAGACGCATCAGTCCGAGCAGGGCTTGGCAGCGATTGCCAGTACATGGTGGCCTCTTTGGGAGGCTGCCTCAATTTTCAGGGCGGCCTGGGCAGCTTCCAGCCAGAGCAAGCACGGCATGCTTGTTGCGCCTACAGTCGGGGCCCTGAAGAAGGAACCCTTTGCGTTGGGGAGGGGCTCCGCGTTCCTTAAGTGTTTCACAGCTTGCCTCAGGCTTTCCTATTGTTTTCGACCGGAAATCGAAGGTTAACTTATGAAAAAAACGGGCCTCGTTCCTTATTCAAGGTTCCTTAGGTCAGCGCCCCGATTGTACCGACTTGTCGATCCGAGCGCACACGATGCATTTGGTGTGGAGCGCCGCTCGGCGCTAGATGTCGACATGTCACGAGTTTCCCTGAGCGACGGGGAGGAATAAAACGAGCCAAGGCCGCCAGGACGGCCCAAGGGGGCCCCAGAACGGCCCAAGAAGGCCCCTAAGACGCCCAGAGACATCCAAAAAGGGGCTCCTAGAGGACCCCCCCCGACGGCCCAAGGACGGACGCAGCTTTGACGCCAAGGCTCCCAAGAGTACCAGGTGATTGGAAAGTTCTTGATTTACGAGCCGGTGTTGTAAAGGAACTATGAACGCTAAGGCTCCAATGAGCGAGCAGTGGCGCAGAAAGCTCTGGGAGCCAAGGCTCCTCAGACCGAACAGTGACGTAAACAGCTTTTCACACCAAGGCTCCCAAGAGCGAACGATGACGTAAACAGTTTCGAGTCTCCCAAGAGCGAACGGTGACGTAAACAATGCTTCACACAAAGGTTCCCAAGAGCGAACGGTGACGTACAAAGCCTTTAACCTCAAGGTTCCGAACAACTAACGATGACGTGAAACAGATCTTCACATCACGACTCCCAACAGCGAACGGTGACGCGAAACATATCTTAACGCCAATGTTCCCAAGAGTGAACGGTGCCATGAGCCCTCTCGGGCAAGTTCCTGAGGCGCTCTTTCCGTTCCCGTGCCAGCCCAGGTGACGGAAAGAGCGAGGTACGAGTGGTTACGTTTTGGTGAGGTGAAGCCCTCTAGGGAGGGGTTCCAGGGGATGGGGGAAGCGCGGTTGGGCCCGGGTAGCACGCCCGTTCTCTCCCCAAGACGGCACAAGAGCCCCCCCCAGAACGACCAAGAGGTCCTCAAGACGGCCCAAGAGAGGTCCAAGACGGCTCCGAGGCGGCCCAAGAGCGCTCCAGGATAGCCCAAAACTGGCCAAGAGCGTTCGAAGATGGCATCAGGTGGCTTCACGACGGTCCAGAGCGGGCCCAAGACGGCTCAAGAGGCCTTGACGAGGACCCCCCCAGAGAACCTTAGGAGGCCAAAAGCATTTAATGCTATTAGGTATTATATGGTTTTCGGGGTTCTCGTTTTGTCGGGCTTCCGACGGTCAGAGACAGCCCAACAGGCTCGACAGATCACTCCAAGACGGCCCATGAGGCCACCAGGACGGCGCAAGAGAGCCTCAAGACCACCCAAGTGGGGCCCAAGAGGGGCCCAGAGGGACCCCAGAGGCTCCAAGGGAGCCGCAAGAGGGCCATAGGATGCCCCCAAAGAGGGCCCCTCGAGACGGCCCCGAGCCCCTCGAGACGGCCCAGAGAGGCCCCAGGGACGACCCGAGGGCCTCCTGAGAGGAACCCCCCAGGCGGCTCGAGGAGGCAAACTCCATCGACGGTCCTATGCGGTTCCATTTGTTTCGGAGTTGTCGCTGCCTCGGGCCCCGATCGGCCGAAGACGGCCTTGAGGGCCTGCAAGGTGGCCCCAAGGCAGCCCAGGAGGCTCCCAGCCCCAAGACAACCGCAGAGGGCCCCGGGATGGGGCCAACAGAGGGCCCCCGGGAGGCGCCCAAGAGAGCCCAAGGGAGGCCCAAGCGAGGCTGCAGAGAGGGCCCCCAAAAGGGCACCACGACGCCCGAGAGGCCCCCAGGACGTCCCGGCATGCGCCCAAGTGGATCTCCAAACTGGCCTGAGGAGGCAACCCATCACCGAGCGCGTTCCACTACTCGCAAAGTGCTTACTCGCCAACGTC